TGCTTTTAACGAATTACTGATTTTCCAGCCAGGAGAAATATTAGGGATTATCAAATGTCATTCCTATCATTTTATGGAAATGGAGGCACAGAGAGGTGACATGCTTTTTTCAAGGCCACATAACTAGTAGTGATAACTGGAACTAGAGAATAAGTTTACTAACACCCTTTTGCTTTAAACTCTGCCTCCTGTGCCCAGTCAAATAAATGACTGCACTGAGATGGTCACTGAATTAAGCAGTTGTTTTGATTGAACTGGTATAATCAATTAAAATTCCTGCAACTAGGGTTTATTTATACTCATGAACAGACTTGAAGCTGATTAAGCATTTTGGATTCAGTTCTTTCTGGATTCCTTGGGCCATGCTCTCATCTGGCTCAACCTCAAAATAAAGAACCTCAGAACATTTTATTCCTTAAAAAATGCAATTAGACATGCCATGTAAAACGTATAGTCTTGTGTGATTATAGGAATTTTGCCATTATAACCTCTCGGCCAAAGATGATTTTATTATGTAGAATTGAATTGAAGTCATATAAATGGAAAACAGTATTTCTAAAACGCCAAGAAAGGACAACCACTGCAAAGAATGTGATAACATCTACATCACGTAAATGATGGGTTTCGACTAATACTTAAAGTTCTTTGGAACTCAGAATAATGGAACTCATGAAGGAAATAACCAGGATGACCTTAAAATTTCTCTAGCAAATCTCAGGGGAAAATGCACAGTTAACAAGCATGCTGGCAATCATCATAAAATATCTAACAGCTTTCTTTCAGTTGCAGGACAAAGGAATTTGTGTTAACAAAGATGGAAAATTGGATAAAAAGATTGATTTTTTTTCTGTAGCTCCTGGCCTGGTGTTTTAAAAGTCAAGAAGTACTATTTTCATTCACGGCCATAGCAAGGTATAGTGGAATCAGTCATGAAATTGGTTAAACAAAGGCATTTGTGAAAGCATGTAAAACTGATGCAAAGAAAGTTAAATCATCACCATGTTTGCCGTAAAAGTCTACTGCATCTCTACACATGTGTTTCAGTTACAGCCACGTTGACTGAGATTTTGTTTAATAAGCTATTTTCCGCAGCGAGTTTATTCTTTGTTCCATGCTGAGTTCCTTTTAGGATTTCCATGTGACTTGCATTAGCATTTTTGGCTTCAAAACTACCTCTAATGAATCATTTGCAGTTTTTTTTTAAGGGTGCTTAAAAAATTAGACTGTGACAGTTATCCAAAACATAATTTGATATGCTGTTTAATTATTTAATATGCTATTTAAAAATTGAAGTGTGGCCTCTGGTTGGTTGATTGATACAGTACCATTAAGGTGGATTTGATGCCCCTTCAAGAAGATAATTATCAGCCGAGTCCTTCATGGTCTGGACTTATAAATTAAGTTGTGTTCTAATAAAATGCTAATTCAAAAATGTCAACTTCAATGGTTTTAGAAGTGTATCTTTAAAATATTAATAAACACCTACATCTTTAAAAAAGTAATTACTAAGCTAAGGAAATTGAGTGAAATATTCTGTTAAAATGAAAGTAGTCTAATACATATAGTATTTCTTATTATATTTATATGTAGTCACATTTATTTCCCATTTCCATATTCTCAAGAAAATACATGATTCTCTTCTACAAAAATATTTGTCAACATACAATGGTTCAAATCTTTGCAATAATGGTGGGTCTTGAGACAAATCTTAGACATCATGACAAAACCTCACAACTCTCTTTACAGGAGAAAAATGAAAGTAATGGTTGGCTCTCTTTGCAGCTTGTTACCAAATTCTGCCTCTTTTTGCAAAAAAAAAAATTTTTCATTTTTTCCAAGAGTAACACAAATGGAAATGAAAATGGAAGTATAACGCAGCTTAGATAAATATCTTTTGAAGAGTATTCTGAAGACCTCTACATTAGAATCAGTTGTGGTTTAAAATGCAAATTATTGGCTAGTCTCAGACCTATGGAATCAGAAGGTTCTCTAAAATCTGAAAACCGGTGATTGAGATGCTTAACAATTTCTTGTTTCAGAGAGTCTTCCCTAATCCTCAAAGCCAGATTTGTTACCCTTAACCATATTCTTCTTTCATTTCATTACCCTTAACACTGTAATCACTGCCTAGACAGCGGGGGCTGTGTCTTCTCTTCTGTATTCTCAAAGCTTAGCACAGTATTGACATATGATAAACCTTTAAGAAACTCTTTGTTGAATAAATGAATGACTAATTAGTATAACATAGAACTATGGCCATGATGAAGCAGAATTCTTGATGATAATCCAATTTCCCAAGTCACAGACAAAAGTGATTTTAAATAGTTATCTCCTTCCATCTCCCACCACTCATGCTACCACCACTCCAGAGAATAGTGTTCTTTTAACTATAATTTTCCAATCCACCACCTCTGAAACTGAACTGTCACCTCAGCAGTGATATTAAAGTATGTCTACAGCTTTGCAACAATTTTTAGCCAAGTCTTTTGCTAATTCAAATTTAGAACAGGAAATCTTCTGCACCCTTGGCATCAAAATCAAGAGTGCTCTTAAGAGAAGGAGTTTAAAATGCAAGATAAGAGAAGTTCCATGCAGTGAAGTGGTTGACTAAGAGTTAGGGAAATGGAAGAAGCCACAGACACTAGAAGCCTTGTATAATTCCTTGAGCTTAAGTCTGGAAATCAGTTCGAAAACTGTAGTTAGAGGGTTTTGAAAATTTTAGCCAAGCATTCAAGATTAAGGGGGGTACCTTATTTACTTGATTATCGGCTACAGTTTGTATTAAAAGCATCACCCCCTACAGAGAGCATGGAGGGCTGATCTGGGAAAACGACCCCAGTGTACCTGCCCTTACATTTATCTCATAAACCACACTTCTGGTTTAGAAAGAAGCCAAAAGAGGGAGCTGCCTAGAGCATTTCTTAATTTAAATGATATATTTAATAATAATGTTCCAGGCTCAGAAGTCGCTAGCGCACAATTGTCTTGAAGTCAGTGGCTGCAGCCTCTTTACCTTTGCACCCTCGTACTCCTTCAAAGAATTCTTGCTCATAGCAGAAGCTCCTTGGTCAGTGTGTCTTGAATGTTGAACACAAACAGAAGGAGAACTCACAGAAGTCTAAGAATAGAGAATTTTAAGTAACTGGGCTTTCTATCATTGAAGTTTTGCTGTTGAGTATTATACTAAATTATAGACAAACCCTATTAATTCTAAAATATAGACTCAGATAGGTCATAAGAGGTAAATACAGACAAGACCAGGCAGGAACTGAAGCCAGAGTGTGGAGTGGGAGCTTGGCCACTGGGAAGACAAGTACAGTTATTAAGACTAGAAACAAGCTGAGTTGATTCTGAGCAGCTGAGATAATGGCCTGAGGCCTCTTAAGGACTGGTTGAGTCGGAGATTTTCGAGTGGGGTTTGAACACTTGGCCAAAGAAGGTTGGTAAGTGGTCAAGGGTACTCAGAGATTAGAGAAAGTTTCCACAAAGTTTAGCTTATAGCAATATCCTCCTTTAGCACACTGATCAACAATTGCCAGGCAGGGCTAGATGCATGCATGTACATACAGCCTTGTGCAGCTAGAGGAGCTCCATTCCATGCTTGGTTTAATGCTCTGCTGTCACCGTCTTGAAATTCTAAAGAATTTTATTTTAGAACTTGTGTTTGAAAGCAGGGTTCCATGGGGCAATGGAGCGTGCACATGAGCAGAGAGGGTATGCACAAAATGCATGTCTGTCATTCCTTGCCACCTTTTTTGCATATAGGGTTTGTGTTGCCCCGTGAGCACAGAACTCTGGTGGACCGATGATGTCGACAAGTTCAGCAAGACTGAAAGTGAATACAAGTAACATTTAAAACTGAGTAATCCAGAGGTGCTGACAGCCCCCAGAGTCTACACTTTCAATCTGAAGCAGAACGTCCTTTGAACAAAGAAAGAAGGCAATGGAATCCTAAGAAGCATCAGCAGTCAGTTTTTACTCATGATATTCCCTTGTATTAGCCAAACACTTTCACTGAAAATGATGACTTAGAAGGTGAGGGAGAGATAGGGCAACATATAGTCCCTTCTCCTGTCAGTTCTTTACTCATTGATAAGCCAAAGGTAGACGGTGTTGGTAGAATGTATATTTATCAAGAAGGGATATAAAAGCAGGGCAGCATTTCCACTCTTCTGGTAAGAACAAAATACATATGAGCTATGAAAAATACATATGCATGTATGAGCTATGAAATATGAATTGTGCCATTTCAACAATTTTGCATATGCTCTTATATTTGCATTTAAAACTGACATTGCACAATAAAAAAATGAACAGTAAAATTCATGCAAATAATTTAAAATTTTAATATTTTTCTACCTAGAATGACATTAAATAAAAAATAAAAAACACCATTAAGTCAAGAGAAAAGCCACAGAAGAAAAAAAAAGTTTATCTTTTTAATACCTTTAATGGCATTTCCCTCCACCCTGCCTTTTCAAGGAGGAGTTGTGCATTTTTATTGTGCACTGGGCCCTGCACATTATATAGCTAACCTTGCTGTCAGGCAAGTATTTCAAGAAGCATTGTCTTGGAAAATTCTGGAAAGGAGGAATGCACAGCAGGGAACTAAAGCCTGAAAGATTATCTAACCTCCTTCCCAGTCACAGAGCAATCAAACGACACTGTCAGGAACTCTGATCTGGGCTGGCCTTGTGAAAGCTGCCTAACCTTTCTGAGCCTCAGTTTTCCCATAGTAACATGTATGGGTGCTGAGAGGGATAGACATAACTCATGAAAAGTGTCTACTACAAAATAAGCTCTTAATATATGATAGCTGTTAACACTGCTATAATTAAAGGTTCTGTTATTTCTAGGACACATAGGATTACCCTTACATTTGGCAGATTAGGAATTGCTTTTGTGAAAGGATTTGAAGACATCCTGATTTCCTCCTGATGCCTAAAATCCCCCAAGCAATCCACTCCTGATTATTCTAATTTTCCTTTCCACAGGGCTACTCATAAAAGGTATAATACAAATCCTGAGCATCTCAGTGTGAAAGTAACAGCAGATAGAGGCCATCTCTGCAAGAGCGATGGACACCTGGAGCGTTGGGTGGAAGGTATTTCTGAAAGGGACAAGTGCCCCAAGAAGGAAATCATGAGGGGAGAGTACAAGGAAGTACAAAAACAAATTCCACCTTCTTGGAAGCTACAAGTTAGGCTTGTGATCATCAAAGTGGACACATTTGGGTAAGTCGAATATCTTACAACCCATCGGTCTCAATTTTCAAACAAAATAATGGGTTGATTATTGTGAAAATACCTTCACAATCTAAGATTTGAAAATTCAACAGGCATTCATCTGAGGCTTCTTCTATATGTGATACAGTGCTAGGCACTCTCGAAGATACAAAAAGGAATAAGGAAAGATCCCTGCCGCCAAGGAGGTCACAGTTTGGAAGAAAGGATTAGATCTGCCATGCTTAATACAGGAAAGAATAAGTGCCTCAGGAAAAATAGGGATTGAGATACAGAGCAAAGAGCAGCCATCTCTGTATTTTGAGCTGATGTGTGTCTTTCTCTCTACCCTTGCTGTCTCATGCTAACCTACATGAACTTATTTGTTCTACATACTGATTATAAGAACCACATTTTTTTGCCCATACACTGTGTCAAACATTGTGTCAAAAACCTTCACCTATGTCACAATTAATTCGTGTAAATACTGCTAGGATGAAAAAATGAACTAATAGAAGCGAAGGACTTATTCAAGGTCACACAGCCAATGAGTATCAGAGTCAGGATTCAAACCCAGGTTAATCTGACTCCATAACCCAATCTCTTTCCATTTTGTTTCCACCAGTGCCTACCTGAGGTTCCCGAAGAGACCATGCAATTATGTTCCTCCATACTTTTGTGTCTGCTATTTTTCTATGTGGACTGACTTTAATCCCTTGTCTCCAGAATAATCTGTACATATTAAAAGCCCAGCTCAGCTATTAAACTCTTTTTCCCACCCTTTTTCCCTTTAAAAGATTAATAACTCCCTAGTTTATGCTTCCAAGTAGCTCCTATATGTGCTGTTATATTATTTATTATGTTAATAGAGGAATAATTTATTTATAGATTTGTCATCCCCTTCAGACAGGAAGCTCCTTGAGAGGTGCTCTGTATTTTTTCTGTGTTTTTCTATTTAGCACGTGGTAGGTACTCAACAGTTTTTTGCTGAAACACATTGACTTGGATATTCAGTTAAGGGAATTAGTATTGGGAATTAGAATTAGTATTTTTTGTAAAAGACCCAAAAATAAATATTTCCGGCTTTGCAAGCCTGTTGCAATTACTCCCCACTGTTGTTTCAGTGCAAAAACAGTGATACAAAATATACTTAAATGAATGAGTATGATTGTGTTCCAGTAAGACCTTATCTACAAAAACAGTCTGGTAGGTCAGAGTTGGCCCTCAAGCTATAGTTTGCCAACCCCTGATGTATAGTATGTCAACAGGCTGATATTAAGAGTGGGAATGGAGAAGGCCTTCCAAGCAGAAGAAACAGTATGTGCAAATGCCCTGTGGCAGTATGTGATCAGGGGAAAACACAAATGAGTAGAGCTGGTTTATGGTGTACAAAGAAGGAGGTCATAATAGATACATCTGGAAACATGGGGCAAGAGTATGAAGGGCCTTAAAAGCTAGAGTAAGAGTCTGTTCTAAATCCAGTAGATATGGGAATGCCATTGAAGTTTTTTAGCAAACTGATGACCTGCAGTGACTGTACACCAGAAATTAAGCTGCCCACACATATACCACAGGCACACAGATCAAGAGATTTGTCAAATAACCCAAGCAATGGAATAGAAATGGTAAAAATGGAAAAACATGGGCAAACATGAGAGTGGCAGAGGCAGAGGCAGCAGGAACTGACAATTGAACATCAGCATGGGCAGAACAAAAGATGACACTGACTTTTCTAGCCTGGTTTCTGGGAACATGGCAGACTCAATAATAAAATCAGAAAAGGCAAGAGGAGGGACTGACTTCAGAAAAAAAATAATAAATTTGTTTCAGACATGTTAAGCCTGATTTTAATACTTGTTTTGCCTGGTCAAAGCCCAAGTTTAAATACTGTGACTTATAACAGCATTCCTTCCCAAAACTGGATTAAAATGTTTCTGCCATTTGGCAGGGAAAATACTTTTAAGTTCCTTTCCAAAATATACCTTTCCATGATGTTTGATCTCTTTTTGAGTTTTATTTTAAGCTCCACTTGTCCTAACAACTAAAGAATACTTAGGAAGTATTCTCTCTTTCCTGAGTCTTTTCATTTTCCGGTCATGTGCTGTGCAATTCTCACCCTTCACTTTAGGTTCACATTTTCTCCATAAAATAGGATAAATGGTCAGTGCAGGGGACTTGGGTCTTTCCTTATCAACTATGATTATTATTATTGAGATAAGCAGAATCAGGGTACAGTCCAACGATAAGAACACAAAAATTGTCAAGCTAGAGAGACAATTGAAATTGAAGTCCAATCATAAGAAATATCCTGAAGGAAAGTTGATGTGTCATGTAGAAATTGAGGTCAGAAACTTGCAAGTTCTGAGTCAAGTTGCCAAATCTTGGTAAGGAACACCTGAGAGCAGAGTCAGAATGACTAAGTCACACATTTGAGATTCATATACAGAAAGAAATGAGGTGAGGTTGAAGATGCAGAGGAGCAGCAGAAGGGAGAGTGTTTGGGTTGAGTGTCTGAGTGAAGGGAAAGTTGTCCAAACCCATAGAATATATAACACAAAGAGTGAACCCTAACGTAAACTAGGGTCTTAGGGTGATAGTGATGTACCAAAGTAGGTTCATCAGTTGTAACAAATGTGCCATTGTAGTGGGGGATGTTGCTGATGGGGGAGGCCATGCATGTGTGGGGACAGAGGGCATATGGGGAATCTCTGAACCTTCCTCTCAGTTTTGCTGTGAACCTAAAACTGCTCTAAAAATAACAGTCAATAAATTTTTTAAAAATTCATATTTACTAAAAGAACAACAAGAACATAGATCCTAAAAAAAGACAATCAAATCAAAATTTACGAGAAAAACTTGCAAATAAAAATTGTACCACAATCTGAACAAAGTCTGTAGTTTAGCTATTAGGATTACACCAAAGATAATTTCCTAGTTCTGACAAATGTAGTGTGGTTATGTAAGATGTCAACATTAGAAGAAGCCAAATGAAGGGTAGGCAGGAGCTCTCTGTTTCTAGCTTTGCAACTTCTCTGTAAAATCTAAAATAATTTCAAAATAAAAAGGCAAAAAATTTAAAAAAAAATCTCCACATAGCTTCCTGGTTGTACAATTTACCGAGTTAAAAGATTAGTCATTGCTTAGGATGGCTTTTCTTCCAAAACCTCTTCCTGCATTAAGTCAAATATGTCAGTGGCTCAGGGCACATTTGTAGAAACTGATGGCTCTTGGTTCTAAGCCTGGCTCTGTTATCTACTAGCTGTGTGACTTGCAGTAAGGTTTACTTAACTTCTGTAAGTCTCTATTTATTTTACCTATAACGTGAGTACACTAATACTTGCCTATTACAAAATAATCCAGAGTGCTTTACACTTTGCCTAACACATGGGTAGCGTTCGGTGGATGTGACAGTAGTATTGACTGGTATCTGTATATCATGTGTGTGTGTCAAAATTTAACCACTGCACAGGAAGAGCTGACTATGCTGCAGTCAGCGTGTCCCATCACTGCCCAAAATGAAATGCTAGACTTGTTTTGCTGTGCTTTGGGTCCACAAACAGAAGACGCATTCCAGCCTTCTCTCGGAAATAAGATTTTCAACTCAGCCACTCTTTTATATTAAAGTAAGCACCGTGACCAGATGGTCTCTGTTCTGGAGTTCCAGAATGACATTAAAAATGAGTGGGCAGAGGGATTTTATTAGTCATTTGTTGGCTTCACAGCAGCCATTTCCATGAAATTATAGGACAATGACAAAATTAAAGCAGCTTATGCTGGCCTTTGGAAAGCTGGTCTCTGTGTCTGCAAATACTCATGGGTCAGGAATGTAGAACAGGGGCAATAAATTGAAGAATTACTGCCTGACGATCCCAGGTCCTTTTGGCTGAGAAGACCTCTCTGGAGCTAGGCCCTGAGGAAAATAGGCTAACGACAGGAAATACTGCCTTGCTGAAGAAGGCCTGTAGCACCTCAGCTTTCTCGTTAGCATCACACCACCAGGGGAAGGGAAGGCCCTTGTAATGGGCTGTTGGAAACTGCCCATGAACTGGATCTAATAGGTGAAGAGAAACTGGCATCAAACCTGGGACTTTAAGCCAATGCATCCAGGCAGAGGCTTCTGTTCAAGTCTTCCCTGGCCGGCCAGTCCCCTGCTTACACTTCTTCACCTTGGACCCTTCCACCTCTCTGTCCTCCCACTCCTCTGTGGAGCTGCCTTCTCACTTCCCACTCGCATCCTCCAGCCCAGTCCTCAGCTCAGAGTCTCAGAAGCTAGTGACAGATATTGTGGAACACATAAACGTGGAGCTCAGAGACTCAAGACCTGAGCTCTGGTAACTCCACCACTTGCTTATGTGAGAAACAGACTGATCATTTCCTACGGTTTCAGTTTTCTCACACTGAATAGATTTCTTTGCGTTAAAAACAACAACAAATTCCTTACTTGGTCTAAAATTTCCACATGGGATTGTTGTGAGGTTTAAATCAAACATATGTTATAAGTGTCTAGTGCCGTGTAGGCACTAGATCGACATTAATTACCTTCCCCTTGTTGTCCATTGGAGAACTTGAGGAAAATGTCCAGGGATTAGTAGTATAATTTCCACTGTCATTGGCCTAAATTTTGGCCTTGCTCATAGTGCAATGAAAAGTAAAATGTCTTAGAAATTCCAAGAAACATTGCTTTTGAGATTTTAAAAGCTGCGAGAATATCAAACGAATTGTCTGCTCTCACTGAGCTCAGATTTCTCTGACAGCAACTGATTTTGTTACACCAAGGATACATAGGAAGTAATTAGTTAATTGGATGACCTTCCTTCACCTATGTGATATTTGCTTTAATAAATTTGCCTACTCTTTCGACATGTATGTTTACTGTAAACCCATTGAGAAGAGAATAATGAAAGCCTCTTGGTCTAGATCTTGTGTCCCTTAAAAAGCTTTTATAAATATCTTCAAGAAATGCACCCTCTTTTCCCAAAGGAAAACCTAGAGGTGACTGGAATCCACTTCTCCGAAGTATTACCCGTTTCTTTAGCAGCAACTAGAATTTCTAAAAGCAAAAGAAGGTCTTTTGTGTTTTTTGGAGAATGACAGGGAAAGAGAAACTATTTACAGGTGACTGAAAGGTCGTATTAACTTTTCAGATTGCCTTTCCTTTAAAATCTCACTTTTGGTACTTAAATGCCTTTGATTCCAAAGCAGACAAGGGTCAGTCAGCTGCTGTGTTTCAACCTGAACAGCATGTCAGTGGCATCAGAGTCACTGTCATTTTTTGTGTGATAATTTTAGCATGGAGCTCCTATCTGCACACTTCAAATTTCTGAAATCAGTAACAGTTGATCGAATGTTAACAAGACTTGTGGTGATCATTTTGCAATGTTTACAAATAACATTACAAATAACATTTTATACAGCTGAAAATAATATAATGTTGTATGTCAATTATACTTCAATTTTTAAAAATTGTAGTATTTTCCCCCCTACACTATATTGTTTTCTGGTCTCTACTCAACTTATAGAGTAAATTACATTTTATTGTGCTTATTTAAAAATTTTTACATGACATTAAAAACAAATGAGAGGGCTGGTAAAGAAGTGTAGAAGGTAAGAGTTAAATTTGGCATGTGGTAAAAAGGAAATTGTTTTGGGATGAAAAGGAGGAAGAATAGAAATCCATAAAAGCAAAGTAGAAGAAATAATTATGACACCAGGGAGGCAGGACTGTATAGTGGTTAGGAGCAGAGATGCTCTAGATTCTCAACGCAGAGCTACCCATGTTAGCTGTGTGATTTTATGACAATTACTTAACTCTCTCTGTCTTTATTTTCTTATCTATACTAGAGATGGTGGGCTAGTGGTATCTGTCTAATAAAGTTGCTAAAAGAATTAAATGGGTTAGTGCCTATCACATAATAGGTACTATATAAATCTTTGTTGAACGAAGAAGTAATAATGGCATCGTATATACATGACATAATGCATTTGTCAAAACCCATGGAAATTTACAGCGCGAAGAATGAACCTTAATGTATGCAAATTTTTAGAAGATTATTTAGAAGTTTGGATGGAATGCAGAGCATGAGAAAACAATCTAGCTATATGACAAACATATGAAACAAGCTCACTGAAGGGGGCAGGAGGGATACCAAACTAAGTAACTTTGGAAATGAGTGGAGTCTATAGGACTACAGGCAAAAGAAACTGTACATAAGGACTGTACTCTGGATAATAGAGTTAGATGTTGGTTAGAAACTCTGATAACACTATATATGTACACAGGAACGGACCAATTAAATACATGCATGGCAGGTGTTGGGAGCCAGATTTCTCACTGTTGGAGTAGGAGGTTATAGGGTAGCAAGGGGAGGAGGCAAGAATGATCTATGAGGAATGGACTAGAGCTGAAGACATCAGTATGAACTCATGTTTAGCTTAATTCAGCTATAGATAGTTACATAGAGAAATATAATATGTGCACCTTCATGAACTAGTTTACACATAAAAATTTTCTTACTCTTCTCAGCTAAGAGCACCAACATTCAGTAGCAATGAGCACACCTAGTAGCACCCAAATCTTGGTTTCTAATATCATTATCCTGTAAAAGGAACCAGGTTTCCTTGGAGAAATGGCTGATTCTAGAACTGAAGCAGAAAATATACAATCTGAGCCTGGAGCATTTTGTAGTGCTAGGAAGCAAGGAAGTAAGGAAGTATCCAAACAAACAAACAAAAAAACCCCAAATCCTCCCACAACCAAAAATAACCCTACATCAATGAGAGTATGCCAAAGAGACACTGAAAGAGCTGCCAATGACCAAAGCTGGAATAATATGAGCAATAAAATAAAGCAGTTATTGAATCATAACTCAAAATATAAAATAAATTTCCATGAGTCCTTATTGATATAAAGAATTGAGTAAACAAATAAAATAAATGGCCAGTGAGGAGGAGAGGAAGGAAATAGACAAACCTCCCAGGCAGATTTCCCAATAACTTATGTAGATAGCCCACCCTCAAGGAAGTGGAACACACTTCCCAACCTCTTAAGTGTAGGCTGTGCATAATGACTTCTTTCCAATGAGTACAGCTTGGAAAGGTGGGGTGTGTAGAGAGGAAAGAGTAACTTTACAGTAGGAAAAAACGGGCAAATGTTACCCTAACTAGGTAACCAAGGATAACATCAACAGTGAGAAGTCATGTTGATAGCAGGTACTCTTGATAGATGTGATGAAAATAGCACTTTTCCTCCCCAAAACACATAATCCCAGTATAATCTCGAGAAAAACATCAGACACATCCTAAATGAGGGGCATCCTACAAAATATCTGAGCAGTACTCCCCCAAACTGTCAAGGTCGTCAAAAGTTAGAGTCTCAGGAACAGTCATAGCCAAGCAGAACCTAATGAGACATGACTAGTAGATTTAATGTGATATCCTGGATGGAATCCAGGAACAGAAAAAGATCATTAGGTAAAAAGTAAGAAAATCTGACTGAAGTAATGACCTTAAATAATAATAGTGTATCAACATTGGTGCATTAATTGCAACAAATGTACCATACAAATGTAAGATGCTACTAGGGAAAACTGAAGGTCGGGTGTATCGGAACTCTGTACTATCTTCATAATTTTTCTATAACTCTAAAATTGTTATAAAATTAAAAGTTTACTAAAAAACATAATAAATGGTTAAAATTTATGAAGCACTCATTGTATGGTAGACACTTCTTATGCATAACTTTATAACCCCAAAATAACTGGTAACAGAAAAATGCCATTTATAATGAATCAACCAAAAATAGGGTTTTAAATTTCATAATGAGTAGTGAAAAAAATAAGTTTGACTGAATGTCCATTTTGAAAAAGAAAACTAAAATTGTGAGACTAACTTTATTAAAATATACATTTAAAAAATTATATTATGCATGTATATTTGTATGGGAGTTCTTAGAATTAACAAGGAGCAAATCAGTTTGGGTTTGTTTTAGTATAATTTTGCAACCAAAATACATAATGTCATGAAATGACACCTTTTTCTTTGTTGCATAATCTTTAAGATGTTTTTACAAAAATATGTATTATGACTTGCTTAATTTTCCCAATATTTCTCTTAATTCTCTGATGTCCAGATCATTCTCCTCTGAAGAAACTATCCTGTTATCATCCTTGTTCCCCATCAAGTCCAGCCAAATCCTCCCACTTAGTGTTATTCTTTCTTGCCTTTAACATCCAGGATTTTTTTTCCCCTACTTCTCTGATAACCTTCATTTCATTCTGTTGGGTATTAGAATTAGTTGTTGAAGTACCTTTCCTTCACCAGAAAATAATACTAAGAACTGCAACAGTGTAACAATGTCTAAGTAAAGTTAACGTCTTCTGCACACCTAAAATGCCTTATGTTAAGTCAACCTCAGTTTCCCCATTTATAAACTAGAGGAGAACAGCAAAACCTGAAATTCTGACTTCATAGGATTCTTGTGAGAACTCACGAGACTGATCTTCTCCCCTGGCAGGGCCATGAGGCCACTGGCACTTTCCTGACCTTTCCTGTGAATGCCAATCCTCTGCTTCTTTAGTTACAACAGGGAGCATTTTGAACTTTATCTCTTCCCAATGGAGCAAGTTTGTCAGTACATTTCACCCTGCGTGGTAACTTCAGCCTATTGACCTCTGACCTCTGAAGTACAGCATCAAGAACAATTCTGAAGCAATGTTCAGGGCCAGTGGGAGAGACTGCCATGATGGGCTAGAAATGTCTGTTATGACTTTAGGACTGGGAACTGATGATACATAATCTCTAGTCTCCAAATACAGCCGCCAGTAATTAGCCCTTGTCCATGCATGCTGCTTAATTAAGAAGTAGAATTGATTTCTCCTCCCCTTGATTCTGGCTGGCCTTGTAACTTGCTTTGACAAATAGAATTTGGAAGAAGTGATGAGGGACTTCTGAAGCTAAGGCTTGAAAATGACTAACAATTTTTGCTTCCTCTCTTTTAGAAGCCAGCTGCCATCTAAGAAGTCTAACTAACCTGAGGCCACCATGCTGTAAGGATGCCTAAGATAGCCATGTGGAGACAGGGAGGCCATGTGGAAGATCACTGAAATGCCATTTATGTGAGTAAAGCCTTGTTGGACCTTTAGGCTCACTGAATGCCGCTGAATGACTCTAGCTGAATGACATTATGTGGAGTTGAAGAGCCAGCCAGCTGTGCCCTACCCAAATTTCTGCTCCACAGAATCATCAAAAACTAGCAATTCATTGTTTTAAGCCATTAGGTATTGGGATAGTTTGTTACACAGCAATAGATAACTGAAACATGATAGTTGGGATAGAGTTTTCCATTTCTAAATATAATTTAGAAAATTTAACTTGGGGTACTGGTTAGCTCCCAGCCCCTATTCCAGGTAATCTACTTCAATTGCTTAGGGATTGGTATATTTTGAAATTCTTTATTAGACTCTTATATAGAACTAAGGTTCAGAACCACTTGTCCAAGGAGAAACGGAAGAGGATGCGCTGAGTTAGAAAGTCAAATTGAGCTAAAACAGAGGGATAAGACTTTTGGAAGTCATTAACATTTGGGATTAGCCAGATAAACAAAGTAAAACAAAAACTCCTCCTTAGTCACTGACAACACGCCACTTTACATCAGGCCAGCTGCAGAGGGGTAAATAAAGAAGACACAGGAATCAGAGATAAATGAGTAAATCAGCAAATAAAAGAACATTCCCCTTGTGTTTTTTTCTGAGCAATATATTTTTTCTGTGTTTTTTTTTTTAATCTCAGTCTTTTCTGTATGGCTGTACTAAATGAAGCTTGCCTAGAGTTGGGTGACAAAAGTGTGCATTTCATTACCATTAACATTATCTTGAGCTAAGTTTGCAGTGTGTTGATAGGTCCTTATCCCCAAATTCAGACCCAGTACTACCCGAGTTGCAGAATAATTAGCCATACAAACAAGATAGAGATAGATAGACAGACAGACAGACATAATTTTTTTGCCAAGATTTTCAGGATTGTACTTTGTGCCTCATATCCCATTTTCAGTTGAAATTTGGATAACAGAAAGGTTTGACAGTTTTTGGTGAAAACATGAGGGAAAGGAGTTTAAGCACCTCAGATGTGTGGAGTGCTATTAGATATGTTCCTATTATGCTGGAAAGTCATTAAGGAAATATGTATGCCAAGCCACACCATCAATTTTGAGATATTGACTCTAACAGAGATGTCAATATTCTAGTTACATTGGCAGAGTTTAACCTCAACTAATGTCTACTGACATATGACACTTCGCCTGCCCTTTAAACTATTTATATCTTTGCTTTAGGCAAAATGCATTCTGTCTTTATTGATACATAATTGTCAAGTACTTGAATCTAAGACTGTAGACTTAGCAGGAAGAAAGAAAGAAAGAAAGAAAGAAAGAGAAAGAAAGAAAGAAAGAAAGAAAGAAAGAAAGAAAGAAAGAAAGAAAGAAAGAAAGAAAGAAAGAAAGAAAGAAAGAAAGAAAGAAAGAAAGAAAGAGAAAGAAAGAAAGAAAGAAAGAAAGAAAGAGAGAGAAAGAAAGAGAGAGAGAGAGAGAGAAAGAAAGAAAGAAAGAGAGAGAGAGAGAGAAAAAGAAAGAAAAGGAAAAGAGAAAGTGCTGGTTTTCATTGGAAGCATGTCTGCCTTTGAAGCTTCACATTTCAGAAGCTGAAATAAGAGTCTCCAGTGGTTTTGATTATAATCGTTGCTATGTAGTCCTCGCGCTTTCCAGGGCACCTCATATAAGACCACGTGTGCCATTGGCTGAATAGCGCTGATTAGTGAATGAATATGACAGAGAAAAGCGTAGAGGTCTTTCAGCCCCCAACCACTTTCCAGGAGGGGGAAGAACATCCTCTGGGCCAGGCACATTCAGTCTTTGGATGTGTTAATATGAAATACTTTCATCGCTCCAATTTCCACTCTTGTGGATTTTTCCTGGCTCCAACTCAGTGACCTGATTCTCTAATTTTCCCTCCTCTGAGAACATACTTTTTCTTAAGTTATTTTTTCTCTGAAATCCACACCGCCTCCCCTCCCTTCCCTTTTGATTTCTTATTCAGCCTGGAAACTACCTCACCAGTTGTAATTAGCCTGAATACTTGAGGGAGGGAGGAGGGCTCTCCTCAGGAAATAGCCAGAATAAAGCAAGATTCCTTCTTCAAGGAGTAGGAAGAGAAAGCCAGGCCCTTGTAAGCTGATTAAATCTCTCTTTGCTTTTTCTTCTATTGTAAAGCACCAAACTCTGATGAGAGCCTATTCTTTCTGTTATTTTATAACCTTAATTGATCTATACTATACATTCTCAGCTTGCTAGGCTAGATGTACTTTCTAATGTACTTTCCTGGACCAAGTAAAGAGTAGAAATATACAATTTTTAAGTGTCAAGTTAGCAGCTTTCTAGTGTTTTCTATCTCAGTCATTTCTGTGTGTCTGTACTAAATGAAGCTTTCCTGGAGGTGGGTGACAAAAGTCTGCTTTTCATTCCCATTAATGTCGTCTGGAGCTAATTTTGCAGTATTCTTAGTGGGTTCATTGGAACTTTACTAATAGAATTTCTGTGAAAGAATTATGTTTCCTATGGTTTTTTTTTACCAATTTGTCTTTTTTTCAATCGTAATAGCTGTGATTCATGCATGCTGTGCAGTGTAATCATTATATTATCTCAATTAGTCACCATAATAACCCTGAAAGTAGTGATCAGTATCCACATTTTACAGATGGAAAGTCTGAAGCTTAGAGTTAACTATATAATAAGTTGCCCAAAGGGGCACAGTTAGTTTCAGACCTGACATTCAAACCCATGACTCTTTGGCTTCAAATCTTTATACTAAGTGCTATTGCCTTTCAAAAACATGCACTGCCAGCTGTTGAAGAGAGAGAAAAAGAGGGATTTTTCTTTTTTTAAAAACAAGGATGGAAAGAAAGGAAAAGAAATGAAAAAACTTCTCTATTTGAGCATATGCGGATGATAGTGGTTGGAACAAAAGGGCGGCTATTGTGCAGAGCTGTTTAAACCTAGGGCAGGGCAGGGCAGAAACACCCTGGTTTATAGAGCACTAATTTAATACAAGAAAGCATGGCGTCTAGATGCCCAGTTTCCAAGAATGGTAACAAGCATGTTTAAGAACCAGTTGCTGCATCTGAGGGAAACTGTAACCTATCTCTAATAACCTAGAAGTCACTGAGCTGACAGGCAATCCCCTTTATCAATTGGTGGTCATTATTGATTTGGAGAAGAAAGTGACTTCTCCCTTTTAGTAAAGAGAGCATAAAATTCTAATCTCCTAACATGTAAAAATTTCATAAACTTTCTCTCAATCCTTTAATAGTATAAAAATTAGAAGAAATATAAAGACAGTAGCCTACTTCATCATATGTCCATATTCGCCCACTGCATGCTAAGACTGTGTATTATTCCCCTTTATGGTTTTTTCAAATTCTAAAATGAGTATCTATATAATGATAATTATTAGATATTGATTTCAAAATCCATTTCTGTTGATTTGTACTAGTATATCAGATTTGATGGTGATAATGGGCACTTACCATATGACTGCTTTATTGATACTCTTTTTAGATTGGAGACACCTGATTGAACAGCCTGTTATATTGATACCAAGAGCACCAGGAATCTGCTCCCTGACCTGACCTGCATAAGTTAATTAGTTTGTGTGTCCAAAAGATATTTATGGTTGTAACCTCTTGGCTATATCATTGATGAAGCTCCTGATATTTTCCTGAGCTGAGTTTCCAGAGCAACTATAGCTGAGAGTTGGCTGGCTGGCTGGAACAGAATCCCTAAGAGATGCATTGGTGAAATCATGAGAGACCATGGTCGCTGGTCAGCAGATACTCAGAAACCTATGGGAAATGTAATTTTATTTTACCTTTGAAGTTCGTGTCAAGAAGATCATTCACTTTTGTGACCATGGCACTGAGACATTTTTGTAATTTCCCATAGCTTAAGGGTTTTTCATGCTGCATTAAGTATCTATGGTGTTTAAATAGCATTACAGCCTATTAAATCCGTGACCCACAAAGTAGGAAGCTTGAGAGGCACAAAAAAGTAATTCACAAGAAGTTTTCTATAAGGTTATTTTCCTGTAAAATAGAAGGAAAAAAAAAAGAGCCCTTTATGTAAAAAGTAGGAATTTGGGTCCGTGGGTCATTGATAAGTGGGATATAAAGGGGAAAAAATTACAACTGTCTCTACCTAATTTCCTCTGTCGCATGTTTTTGGTTTCTTATAGCAAATATGTCCATGACATTGCATATTCAAGGCATTAGGAGTCACTGCCTTAGAATTCATGACTTCTTGCTTTCCATGCTGAAGTTTGACCATACCTGTGTATCCGATACCCAGAAAGAGCCCCTCTCATTGCAATAAAAATATCTTCAACCAGGGGCTACTCTAATTTTGTTTGGCTTTGGTCTTATGAAATGACTCACCTAACACTTTAAAAAACTTCTCCACATATTGAATAAATAAAATACAACTGAATCACTAATTTGCAGTAACTAACTGCACTAACTAGCCCTCAGTTGGAGATAGAAGGATTGCAATGTTTTATTCTCTGAAATGAAGCTACTTTTTTTTTTTAATGCACCCTTGGAAAATCACCATTTGACTTTCGGACACAGTGTTTCAGACTCTAGTGTTAATTTTATTAAGCAGTATAATCAGAAAGTCACTTGAATCATCATGTAATAATTTGTGCTTCTGGACCTTAATAGTCATGACTCTAAGAACTCAGTGCTCCAATAATTATTCCAACAAAGAGAGACTTAATCAACCCGATGTTATTCAGACCCCAAAGAAACTCACTGTAGTGATTCTCATTTTTTTTAAAATGTTATCTTAAAAAAAAAGAAAGAATAGGGAACTAGGAATTTTTGGAGGCTTCCTACAATGATAGTGAGTTGGTAACTGAAAATCTGGAAGGAAGTAGAGTAAAATGGGAAGAGACTCATTTTATTGAATCTTATACCAAGTACATACAGTCTATAGGATGAGGGAAAATTTCCTAATTCAGTAGAGCTTCACTCTTCTCTTTAGCAAAATTGAACTGGTTATACGGAGGGATCTCACCGTATGCTATGGAGAATAATTTATGTATAATTTAAATGCAAAAAAAGTAAAATGTTTAGGCAATAAATCCAAATATCTACAGTGTCACAACACTATACAATAATATACAGGACCCATCAGCCTCCCTTTTTAGATCCTGCTCATTAATGTTACTTTTTCTAGTCTACATAGTACTGATACTCATTTATATGAAAACTTTCTTTCTTAGATTGCAGTTTCACATTCACTTGGCAAACATTTAATGAGTACCTAATTTGTGCTAAGTGCTTTGTTGTATAGATAGTGATGAATATGGTTGAGCATTCAGATTGCTCACAGATTAGTTGAAGAGATGGAAATATAAGCCACTATTGCAATTGTGAAAAATGTTATGAGAATATCAAGTATTATGGGACCCTAGGGGAAGGAAGGTACTATTTGAGCCTCTCCCATTCTCTGTTCCACACACTCCATGCAGACTTTCATCCTCACCACTCCTCAGACTGTTCTCATCCAAGTCAACAATGGTTCCCATGTTGCTAAATCTGGGTCATGCCTTAGTCCCCATCTTGCTCAATATGTCAGCAATATTTCACACAGTTGTTCATTTCCTCCTTCTCGAAAAGACTTTCTTCACTTGGCTCCTGGGAAGTCACTCTTGCTTCACTTCCTATCTTACAATTACTCCTTTTAAGTCTCCTGTGTTGGCTCTTTTTCATCTTCCCAAGCTCTGAACATCACAGTGCTCTAGAACTCATTCCCTGAACTCTATTTTCTCCTCCCTTTTCCCTAAGTGATCCTACCTCATTTCAGGGCTTTAAATATCATCTACTGCAGATAACTATCTCCCCAGTACCTACCTCTACCCATGATATTCCCACTGAACTCCAAAGCATGTATCCAATGGCCTACTTGATATTTCCACTTACAGGTCAAACAGGTGTCTCACACGTAACATGGTTTAAAAAAAAAAGATTATTCTCACCCAGTCTGTTCATCCTACAGTCTTTGCCATCTTAATAAAATGGGAACTTCATCCTTCTAGTTACTCAGGTCAAAATTCTTGGTATTATCCTTGACTGTTTTGTTCATATTCTACATTTCAGCTTTGCCTTCAAAATATATTCAGAATCTGACAACACTTAATACCTCGCCTCTTGTTACTGTGGATGACATTTGTCACCTGGATTATCATGATAGCCTTTTATCAGGACTTTCTGCTTTTATTCTTGCCTCCCTACACTTAATCCTATACATGGCTATCAGAGTGACCCATATATGGTGATATTTTCACTCTTCTGCTCTCCCTCTACCCTTCAATGGTTTCTGATCTTATTCAGAATAAATATTAAAGTACTTTCCATGGCCTACAAGGCCCTACAAAATCTTGCCCATAGCTACTACCTCTTTGATCTCATCCCCTACTCATTCACTTCACTCCAATCACACTAGCCTCACATCACTTCCTCTGATATACCAAGAATGCTCTGCTTTGGGCACTTTGCACTTGCTATTCCCTCTGCCTTCAGTTCTTTTCCTGCCATCACCCCATATCTACATAGATTGAACTCATGCTTTGTTTTTATCTCTGCTCCGATATGACTTCGTCAAAGTGGCTTTCCTCAACCACTGTTTAAAATAACATCCTCACCCATTTATCCTGTCTTATTTTCCTTCATCCTAGCTTCATGTGGCATGTACGCTATTCTTGTTACTTGTTTATTGTCTTTTTGCTTCCACTGAAATCTAAATTCTATCATAGTAGAAAATGTCGGTTTTTTCACTGTTGCATCTCTAGATCTTAGGAAAATACCTAGCATCTAATAGTCTTCCAATAAATAATGAATTTTAATGAATTAATATATTTGAGCTGAGAGAAAAGGACAAAGGCTCTCAGGCAGAAGAAACCAGGACCTACAAGAGGATAAATTTAGTCTGTTTAAAACAGGAGTGAGCACACTTGCAGCCTGGGGACCAAATCTAGCCTGCCACTTGTTTTTGTTAGTAAAGTTTTATTGAAATATAGCCAGGCTCATTCATTTACATTACTATTTATGAAATGCTTTCGTTCTACAACAGCAGAGTTGAATAGTTATGAAAGAGACTGTGTGGCCTGCAAGCCTGAAATATTTACTAAATGGCTTTTTATAGAAAAAGTTTGCCAACCCTTGGTCTGAGGGTAGAATGCATGGTAGACTTGGTGGGAAAATGGAAGAGTAGGTGAGGGCAAGCAGGGAGGGATTTATATGGGTTTGGGTGTCACATGTTAGTCAAGAGAGAGTGAGACAATGGGTTCTTTTAGGCAAGGGAGTCCCTGAAAGGCGGAACTATGTCTATTATAATTTTTCATGAAAGAGTGCCTGATATTTAAACCAGTTATCCCAGTGGCAGCTGCTGCCAGGACCCCTGCCTGAATGTTTCTGCCATGTTTGGAATTAGCTCTTGATCTAGGAAGCAAAAAGTAGTGAAAATCCCTTTGCTTCCCCCACCCTCCTCTGCTAGATATTGGTTTGGAAATGATCTTTCTCTTGTGGTGAGTCTGGTGCAGACGGCTCCAACAGAATCCATTATCGCCTCTGGATAACTGGCCTGGGCTGATCTCAAGAGTCTCAGAAACATGAGGTTGGTTCTAGGGTCGCCAAGAGACTTGTGTCTCCTCAGACTTATTGGTCCTACTTTAGGAAGCTTTTGGAATTTGAGAAATTTTGCAATCATTTCTATAGAGGGTGACAAGCAAAACTCTACATTTTCAGTGGTTTGACAGCTCATCAGACCTTTTCCAAGTCCTCTAAACCATGTGGATCCGTCAGACTTTGCCGCGGGGTAAGGTCAAAAGATTGCTGATCCATTTTGCTTTTACTTAGATTGGATTTCACAATAAAGCAGCCTTTCCCTGCTGTCTTTGGCTCTTATGATTTTAGCTCCAGCCAGACTCTAAGTAAGGGCAGAAGTAAATTTTGAAGAAAATAAAAAGAGAGAGAGAGAGAGAGAGAGAATAAATGTGCTCTGAATTTCACAGAACAAAGTGGAGCTCTGGCTTGTGGTGGAATCTGGGACTAGGTGCCCCTCTCCCCTTTCCCTCTGAGATTGCAGTGGTGAAATCAGGTCTGTTCCAGTGAAGCTGTGGCATTTGGGTTTAATTTGATAGATCCCAATGTGGCTACTTTGGTTTGGGACTTGGTTCTGGCCTGAGTTTTTTCGCCCATCCCTCAAAGTGTATGAGCAAAAGGAAGCCAAGTTTCCACTTCTATTTACTGAATCATTCAACTAGAAGTCCACAGCCCTTACTTACAACAGCTCATGTTGTTTATTGGCTTGCCTTTAAAAATTCAAAGTATGGGTTAACTGAAAATTGATAGGTTATCATTTAAGGAGGAAGTGAAAAATTCCAAACAGACATCAGTCTAACCCTAGGCAAAAGAAACAGAACTTAAATTTTTATGGTGGCCTTTCAGACCGACCCTTCTTTTGAATTTACAATAGGTCAGAATATTTCTTTCTTTCTTTTTCTTTTTTTTTTTTTGGTTTAATTTAATACTTCAATTTTCAAGAAGGTGCCAAATCAAGCTTTTTAGGCATTATCTGCCTGGGACATGCTGAATTAATTGCAGGCTTCATTTTGTAGGAGTCAGTATTAATGAATGGGGTGCTAGCTCAGCCCGTTTGAAAAGAACACACAGAGGTGGCTCCAATAATTACATTAAGACCGTGGATACACACTTGCCATGGGGATTTGGAGTTGGGCTTAATCAAATCTGGATTTGGCATTTCACAGCCCACATCAAGGATTTCTACAAAGGAACATCTGAGCATTGCCAGCTATGCTCTTGTTCTGACTTAGTGCCTCCTCCTGGGTAACCGAACAGGCCCTGTGCTAATCTTGTTGATGCTTTGGTTGCACCTCTGCTCTGCTGCAGAGCGCTCAGAGCTTTTTCAGGCCAGAGTTTCTTTCCACCCACGAACAACCATTTATTTAGTGCCTATCATGCCCAGGGCCCTGGGATAGACGTGATGGTGAACAAGACTGACTGTATCCTGAGCTGCATTCATAAACATTACATATAGTAGGAGCTACAGAAGCTCAACCTGTGGCTGCAAAGCAGTTAGCTATTTTTATTCATTCATTACCTACCATGTCCTAATAGATGATATAGATGATGCCTGCCTTTGAGGAGTTTAAGATCCAGTCCAGTGGTTTTCTTTTTCTTTTTCTTTTTTTTTAAGTGGTTTTCAACTTTAGTCATCTAAGAAGTCCCACGGAAGCCTAATTCAAATGGGAACAAGGCATCTGCACTTCTCATAGGCAGATATTTCTGATGCACTTGCTCTTTGGACCATGCTTTGAGAAATACTGATAAACATAGAAATGATGTAAATAGTTGTGAAAATAGCATAATCAATGCTGCACCTGTCACAGGGGAGGCTCAAAGGTAGAAGACCTTATTTCTATTTGAGACAGCAGAGAAGGCTTCCAAGATGCAAATCTAGATCTTGCAGGATGATAGAGGGTTTCATCAAGCAGACAATGCACAGGTGGAACAGGTGGAGGGGAGAAAACTCCAGACACAGAGGGATCACATAGAGGAC